CCCAGCTTCCCCTGGTGGCCACTCTGGCCAACACCAGGGAAACTCTATTGCCCCAGTGTGGGTACTCCGGGCAATCCAAGCCAGGACTGCTTTGCAAGCGGGGCACCCCTGAGAACTGTCTGTCCGGGGTGGGGGTCGGGTCCCTTTAAGCACAGCCCTCGGCTAGCCTGAGACAGCAGCTCCACGCTCTAAGTCCTCATCTGATGCCCTGCCGGCACTGCTTCCGGCCATCCTTAACCCCGGTTCAGGGTCCACTCTGTGTGGACATGCTAGTTCGAATTAGCAAAACGCTAATTCGCACTAGTTTTTTAGTCTGGATGCGTTAGTTCGAATTAGCTTAGTTCGAATTAGCGCTGTAGTGTAGACATACCCTCAGAGTACTCTCAACAATTATTCCAAACTCTGAATGCATTGAAAGTAACTCACAGTGTCATGAGCAGTGTATCTATCTTAGCATTTTATACTGTAATCAATCACAATGATATCTGAGCTTAAGAAGGGTAAAACAGTCTATAACCAATAAGTACTAGCCTCAATCATTCCCAAAACCAAAATCTATTGGGAAGTCCTACCAAAGCTAAGAATTACTAGCAATTAAATGGATCATACTTTTTGAGATTTGCTTATTGTGAATTATTGGAGTATGAGTACATGGTAGAGAAAACTCACAGAGAAACGAAAAAGGTATGATTGCAGCAACTTTTTATAGCATCAGGACTTTTATGTGAGCAGGTTGAGGTTTCTAAGCTCTGAGTTTTTTCAGACTGTAATGAAGTTTGGCATTCTAGTAAATATTCACTAGAAGTCTGTGAGCTCATGTACACCCCTGGAAAAGATCATCTGGTGTTTTCAAGTATTTGGTGTGTATGACTTCTGAATAATGAAACTCATTTTTCTTGGGTGAAAAAAACCCCCTAGGTCTTTATTATTGCCCTACTTCACCCCTGAAGCTCTGAAGTTCAAGGCAATTTTTACATTTATGACACATTTTTTCACTCCTAAAATATTTCACTTTCCCAAAATGCATCAGCTAGGGAGGATAGACTGTCCCTCAACCATACAACACTAAAAAATATACAAGTTCATGGTTTTCTTTCATCTGAACACGTGCAATAACGATAGGGCCACAAACTGAAGAACTAATTCCAAACAATTAAACACTCCAATCAAAGACTATAATTTTGATACATCTAGATAAAATTTGTATTGAAACACTAATCTAAACTGGAAGTTTGGGAAGTTTTCATACATCTTTGCCATGGCAGCAAATGCTGAACTGTTGTCTTTCCTTCCTAATTTCAGATGAGGCAAAAAATGGAAACATGGAGTAGGCTAAGAAAATTAATTCTCAAGACTTTCACTAGTCTAGGGGGAAACCAGGAAGTCTAGTTATAGGGCTCATTGTAAATCTTGGTATTTGGAATCTGATCCAGTTTCTCTGAAGTCAATAGGCTTGATAAAGGTAGTCAAATCAAATTCAAAGCGTGTGAGTTTTATGATTCGTTATGGATAAGAGCCCATAGTAGGAGAAAGTAGACAACGACTAATCAAATGGCCTTATAATTTTGGTGATTTCCAACAAACTTTATTGAAAGCAATGAGCAATAAACAAAATCATAAGTGATTTTGTTGCAATTACATGCATAGTTTTATGGAATGATACTGCATATAGGATCACCTTTACTGTACATAGTGTTAAATATAATAAACCTGTTGTATTAAGCTTTATAAAAAGAGTTCATCAGCTGCAACTGGCTTTCAAATATGCCTCTGCTTAGTACTTGGAAAATTTTATAAATAATCTTTAAAAAACAAGTCTAACAAAAAGACTAAAACACATTGGAACTTCCACTGTCATCTCTGAGTTCCAGAAATACGACTATTAAAAAAAAATCAAATGCATTAGTATGCCTATATTGACACTATTACAACTAACTCCATGAACATTCAGACGACACGTTGATTTCTTATACTCATGCTGTCACATTGGTACAGAGTGACAATGATTCTCAAGGCATGTTCAAGGCCTGTGCAATGAGATAGTATAAATATATGATTATTGATCGTTTCAACCACAGGATATATAACTGACTGTATTAAAAACATACAGACTTGATACTGTTTATCAGTTAAAATTCCTTAGAGTAAAAAGGGCAGTTGCTGTTATTGGAACGGAAACAAAGAGCCTATTAAACACAAAATATGTCTTCAGCCTTGTCCTGATTACAAGACAGCTAGCAGCACCACTGAACACATTTTAATGACCTTCTAATTGTTTACATGCATGTGTTAAAGATTGGTTGAATATATCTATTTGAGAGATAAATATATTTAAAATACCTGATGAGAGTTCTATTTCCTGGGGTATTTTTTAGCCTATTTTCCAACCAGAGAAGAATGGGGAGTAGGTGGGTAAAACTGACACAAGGTTAATTTCATCCTGAGCTTGATGGCAGATCAATATTTTATTTCCAAGGTATCCACTCAACCCAAGCTGCTTGCCCTGGCAGTGTGTATTATGCCCAGATAATTTCTTATTAAGATTGCTACTTAAGAGCTGTACTTCTGTTGCTTACAGCTCATAAAGCAAGGTGTTCTGGGTGAGTATAAACAAGGCAGAGTCTTTTAAGATACATTTTCTGTAAATGCAAAAATGTTGTTGAAAAATGCAGTTCCCTATACCACCTGCCCCAGTGGAAACCAAGATTGATTTTCAAGGAATACAATACATTACATTTGGAATCCTTATGACAAAGATGTAATATTGGAACGTCCACCAGGGGGTGCAATAATTTTTTGAGCAGTGCGTCTTGCAATATGGTCATCCGCTTGAGATCCTAGAAGAGAAGACATAAAAACTGAAGGACTGAAAACAAAGTGCTGACTCCACTGATTTACATAAAGGTAATTATTAAATGAAATGTTTTTGTTCCTAATGCTATATATGTATCTATACACAAGGGTAAATAATAGCAATTTATTTGTCCGTAATGTATATTGATTTGGAAACTGAATAGTAAAATTCAAACACAAATAACAACCTACATTTTTTACACTTTGGCACTTTATAAATAAGGTAGCAGCTGTAACATGACCAATGAACTGTATGATCTGTAGATTTTTGTAATTTTTAGTTAAAATGCTTTTGAACCCTCCTAGTCAGCAAAGAAGGTGCAATCTATAGTGATAATTTGAAGATTAAATAATCTTATTATATTTTCATGTTCAGACTCAGTTTTCACAAAATGTATTTCAAGCTTAGTAGTGGGGAAACTAAACATGCATAATGAGAATAATATAAAAAGTTAATTATAGGAAATGCTGTCAAATGCAAAGAAAAACTACATTCTGATTGGAAAGAACTGGAAAATTCTAACTGGGTTCCTGGAAATATCTTTTATTTACATGCTGATTCTAAGAATTTTTTGTAATGATTTGTTTCTCTATGAATAAATAGCTTCCAGATAATAACATTCTGAAACTCCAGTTCATGTGTTGCTCTCAAGGACCTATGGGGTCTTAGCCCTTTAAGAGTAGAATGTTAGCAACTACAGTATAATGTGGCATTTACCTTAAAAATTCTTTTTTGCCATGGCACACAGGTTTATGCACTAAGCATAGTGTGACACTAAGCTGAGCAGTATCACATGCATGATGTTCATATGTGACAAATAACTCAAGAAAATGCATGTGGTACTCCCATGATTCAAATAAAACTCAAAATTGTATCATTGTGGCTAAAATAGCAGTGATATGTGTATGGAAATTACCTTTCGTAGTATGATTTTTTTATGAATAAGTCAAAAAATTTCAACTTTATTTACACCAGGTTTATACCAAAATTAACACAAAATAAGTTTAAACCTATGATAGTAAAACTAGCTATGTAGTACTCTTCCCTTTCCTTATGAAAGGGAAAAAAGGGATGGCTGTCATAACAACTCGTTTGCATCTTCAGTTCAGGAAACATAGCTCACAAGCAGTACATCTGTGATGCAAGTGTTTTATACCTTTACAGAGATGTGACAGTCTCCAAGCCACTGGCTGAAGCATTGCTGCTCAGAGCATTCATCAAAAGATCTGGGTGATCATTCTCCTCATTTCTGCTTCCCTCATTAGCTACTAGTTTAGCTGTGATTCTCCTTTTTCAAAATGAAATCTCAAGAGACTGTCTTTTTCATCTACCTAGTGACCTCTCCTAGAACAAGCTAGTATACACAAGCATTTGTCACCTCACCTCCACTCTAGCCACAGTATACTGAATTTGCCTATTGCAGTACATGTGCTTATTAATTTTCTCTTCTTCCCCCGCTCCCTCTAACTGCCTGGACCTTTGTACTTTAACCATATAATACTAACCAATGCCTTTTCTTAGTTTGTATCCCAGGCATCTTCCTCTCATAGGTTTCCTATGTATCCAACCACTTCTATTCTGGAGTTGGTAAAGGATACAATTCAGAGTGAATTCCTGGATCCAATCAAGTCAATAGGAATTTTGCCATCAATTTCAAGGGGGCCAAGATTTCAACCTCTGTTGTCAGATCTTATTATTCTGATTACTGTCCTTGGCTTCTTTGTCTTCTCTCCTTCATCCGCATTGGCCACCTCATTTTTTAATTCAAACTTGACATTCATCCTCTCTGGTAGCTTGTGACCTACATTCTTTAATGTATTTGCAACGACAGGTTTCAACCATCTGGAATAATTTTGTGTTGCTTTTGTATGTAAGATACTATAGTTCTGCAAATTGTACAATAATGGGAACAGTGATTTCTCAAGAGCAGCAAGGCAATCATCACATAAACTTAGTAGTTAATTCAATTTGTCTTTTGCATTAGCAGACATTACTAATGCAATTCCGTCCCTCCATCTTTTCCTCCTCCTTGAGTAATATACCATAAGCTCTGCTCCTGCCGCTGATCTCAGTGTGAATGGTTCCCTGCATTGGTTTGAAGCTGTGTTAACTTCAGCAGGGCTCCTCATTGTTGTGTAGGTATGTGTGCATGAAGCTCACTGCAAGACTGGGGTCTGGTTTGTAAACAGTATTTGCACTTCTCAGTTAGTCTAAGCCACCCATGTTTACCTCTACCTGCAAATGCTACTGTGCCCACTGAGTGAACTTACCAGACAAGCTGAATCCTGACTGATGCAGATTACGGACAGGGAGAGTTGGTATTTTGCCTGAACAGGGAGCTATCCTTGAAGTAGGAGTGGGGGCTACAGCTTTCGCAGAAACAATGACATCATGTACAGGCCCATCATAAAGCCCCCTGGGAACACCATGAATTTCCGCAAGCTGTAGTGAGATAGATGACAAACATGTGAGGTGATTCTGAATGAAATGATAAGAAGGTTGAATGTGAAATCTGTTCCCTTACTGATTTTTCTTCTCTCCATCATACATATCCTGATTTATTAAGGAAGAGTTGTACATAAGTTCAGGTTATTTGTTTGAGAAGTAACAACACTAAACATTTGCTCTGGGAAATTATTTTACAAGGAGTTATGTAGCTTTAGGCAGGCATAAAAAAAAAGAAAATGGCAGGTCAGTTTTGGGCTCTATCAAATTTGTCAGTCTCCCACACAAGTTAAATTGGCCACTTAGCGATGATGGTGTATCCTGGCTGCTCCAAAATATAACAGAGAGATGAAATAGGAAGTGTTTGCTGTCTCTGTGACTTGGATACAGTGAACATGGTTCTCATTTTATACTAAGGTCCCTTTACACTGTTCTCACTTTAAATTACAATTATACCCAGTTTGGAATTGTGTAAATGGGCCTTTGGGGAAATCAGAATCAAGCCCAGTGTCTTCAGTGATCTATTATTAATTTTAGAATTATTAATACTGTTAACATCTTTATTTTATAGTGCCTCAGTGCATTTGTGAGCTCTGTACACTACCACAAAGATATTGGCCCTTTCCTGAACAGCTGATTCTTCAAACCAGTATTCTTCACTTTCTAACATTGAGATCAATAATTGCACTTCCAGGTGCTAGCTCAGCACCTTGCAATGGTTAATGAGAAAGGGGTGGTGCATAATTTTGCCTTATTTGCAAAAGACTCACTGTATTTTTATTTTTTTGTTACACAGAACACACACAAAAGGAATTTTTTTCCAACTCATATTCCATCCTGGTTTTCCTTTGGTATGTTGTGAGTTCTGATGTGACACAACAGAACTTGACATAGCATGATTATAATGTCCTATTGCATAAAGTCTTTAAACTATCCATCTTCCTGACTGATAAAAAGATCTAAAGGTGATGTGGAGAAGTACTCTATTCACATTATTATCTGTGGATAGCCATTTCTCATCCAAGTCATACAATATACCAGTCATTTTATAATAAAAAACTAGAACAGAGCACTTAAAAACAGAAAAAGGTTTGGATTTGAGCATAATGAAGTCAGGACAGATACAAATTGTAAAGAATAACTATTCTGAATTTTAAAACAGCATTTCAGTTTCATTGCTAACCTCTGATGCCATTTGGTCTTCAATCTCTGTAATACTGAAAACTGAGTAAAGTTGATATGCACTGCAATATTTTCCATTGTGAACCCCTTTCTGCCTCCAAAGAGCCACTGCTAGACAAGGGACCAAGAAATGTAGTGTAGACAACCAGAATAAATGCCCACAGTATCAAATGCGGCTGCCAAAATGAATTAACTTCACAAGCAATCAGCAACCACATGATCTGATGCCAACTTATTATTTAAGTCGGAGTCTAGGAACCTCCAGCTCCATGTAAGCAAAAGTTTATATTTCGCAAAGTGCCCTCTTTGGATGATGAAAAATGACACAATGTTTTTACTTTCAAACATAACAGAAATGGAGTTTGATTGGTAACAGCCTGAAGGCCTTTTGTCAAATCAAATGCGATCAACCAGACTTAGTAATGGCTTATCTGCAAGCTAAGAAGGGTGCAAGATGTGAGGGGAAAAAACAGGTAAAAAATCATACAGGAGCAATTCTTATTTTACAGGGTAAGTGTCAGTTTCTTGGCTATACCAAAAAGTTAGGAAGGAGTGGAAGTGGGTGAGAGGGCAGGTAATACGGTCACTGCACTGATCATTGCTTTCATTCCAGTTTTAAATTAACAGAAATGGCAGCTTTAAAAGCTGAGGCTAGTTGCCATTAACAGGATTTAGAGGGTTTTTTTTAAAGGTTCTGTCAGTTTCTCTTACTTGGTTGACCTTCCATGGTTGGACCTCTATTACAGCAATGAATTCACAAACTGGAAATCACATCATGTGATTATTGCTGTACTTGTCAATGTGACTTGGTGTGTTCGGGAGAAATGAAGTGGTGACTGATATTTGCCTTCCATACATCAAATAATGAAAACATCCACAAACCACATGGAAAAAATGGAGCATTGATGATGTAAAGAGCCACCAACGAAAGCTAGGGTAGAATAAATCTCATTGGTCCTATAAAAAAGGAACTACTGTAAATATTTCTGAGCTCCTTGTATTAGTACCTTATCTATTAATTGTTTGCATACATGCAGAAATAGATCATTCCTGTGACAGAATTGCAATACCAATCCTTCCCCAGTCTCCAGCACAGGGGATATGACTAGCAGGAAGGGAGCATCTGTGCATACCAGCAATCCAGGGCAAAATGAGCAACCTAAAGAATAAGTTCAATCCTGAAAAGTACAGTACTGGGAATCCCAATGACTTTGACATTTTTAAGGATTTACTCCAGTCTAAAAATTCTTATAATCAAATGTGTAAACAGATTTAAAGTGTATGTTCAGAATATACTAATGATCAATTTGCACAACTGGCAAATTCTTATTGGCTCCAAAAATTCTTAAAAGAACTTTATTAATTTCATTATGGTATATATCATCAGGTGTGGTTGCCTACATGTCTACTTGAAATGTAGACCTACTAAGGCCAGGAGATCTCTAATGAGAAATATCTACAACTAAATTGTACATCTCATTCAAATTCAATACATTGTTTCATTATTATATATAATCTTTTATCTTTCAAATGTAATTCAGAAGGACCATGTAATGAGATACATAATGGATTTTACATCTTTCTATGTTTCCTGTCTACTCTCCTGTAATTAGTAGGACACTAGTTTACCCACAAATCTCTTTGAAGACATTCCATTTGTCTAAGGAGACACACATACCTTATCAGCCAATATTAAATATCTGATGGATCTGTATGTAAAATCCAAAACAATGTTCTTTTAAGATTAATGTAAATTAAGAGGTGGCATTAGGTGAATGAGTTGTCATATAAGCCCAGCAATGCACAATAGCAGTTGATAGTTTAACACCTTTTCAAGGCCTAAAAGCAGATAACATTAATATTTTTGTTCCTGTAAAGGGCCCCCTTTCCCTTCTTAGTCCTACCTGGATGTTCTGGGATGCTGTAACACAACACTAATAGCAATCTGAGAATAGATATAAATTAGTAGAGGGATGGTTTTCTTGAAAATAAAAGTTCTCCTTACCCTGTTTCTTGCCTTTATTCTTTTGTAAACAAAATCAGGGAATGTCTTTCTAGGAACAAAGCGACCAGATCCTTGGGTGACAAAGAGGTTTCCATCTTCCATCACAACTTTTCCTTGACTTATAACCACAGTAGGGGCACCACGGCACTCTAGTCCTTCAAATATATTATACTCCACATTCTAACAAATCCAAACCAGGATATTCAGTGTTAGGTTAGGGTTAAAAACAAAAAAGCCCACAAACTACCCAATAATATACACACATGTATGTAATACTTTCTTCATGCATAATTAATCATTCCTTAAATAATCCTTTACGTAAGATTTGAAACAATATGAACCTCTATTAATTTGGTGAGCTAAAACAAACTGGAATAAACAGACAAAACTGATGAACATTTAGCAATGACCTAACCCCACACAGTCTGCTACTTGGGAAGCAAACCAGAGCCCAGTTTTAAGTATGGATTGCTTAACCTCCATCTCCAGCAGGCTTATGATGAAACTCACCTTGGACTGAGAATCTTTTGCTATGTTTGTTCGGCAACTGCTATAACAGAACTGGTTGAAAAATACCAGTTATATTTTATGGGAAATTTGAAAACATTTCATTTTTCAAAACTTCCCATAGAGTATTTTTTTTCTTATTTTTAATAGGCTCCCACCTTCAAATGATTTTTTTCAGCTCTCAAAAACAATGCTTATTAAAAGGTAATAATTTTAGGTTTCTGAAGAGCAAAAGTAATTTTTCTGTATTGCATATCAAACTGAAACACACGCTTTAACTGAAAAAAGTCAGTTTCCTGTTCAAAGAAGAAACAGAAAACTTCATTTTCCTCAAAATAATTCATTTTGGTCAAGAACGCGTTGTGTTAAAATGTTTCAACAAAATAATGTAAATCAGTTCTATCCTTTACATTTAACTAACATTACCTGTTGGTTTACTGCTAACACTTCAAATGTTACTCAAGTTCTAGATGAACTGTCAAACCCTAGGAAAGGCAGAGCTTGAACAGACAATTCCCCAATGGTATATTCCCAAAGATAAAGTGACAAGCCTATCTGGGACCAGGGAAGCAAAGCTGAGGTCTGGATCTCCAATAAGACTCGTGTTGATTAAAGATTCCCTTTGGCAAAAGGTTTTGAGAGTGGAGGTATTTCTCAGCTAATTAATCATTTTCACAGATAAGAATGAGGAGGCATTCCTTAGCAGCTGGCATTCATGAAGTTCCAAATCGTTGAAATGGGAATTTACCTGAGAAAGACTGAGTAAATAGGAACCCAGGATTAGTTCCAGTATGAATGGCCCCTACCCAACAGTTCTAATTGGATCTTGCCTCCTCTTTGTAGTTTTATATTTGAAAAGAGCATATGCCTTGAACTTATCCAATCCTCATTGAATATATCAACAATCCCAGTAATTTACTATCTAATACAAACTTTTAGCTCTATAGGTCTGTTAAATCTTAGGGTATGTCTAGGCTACAAGGCTCCGTAGATGAATTTACTAGACATAGGGAAATGAAGCGGCGATTTAAATAATCGCTGCTTCATTTACATCAAAATGGCCGCTGTGCTGTGCCGATCAGCTGTTTGGCAGCACAGCGTGGTAGACTGTATGCACCACGGTCAACAAGGGAAGACTTTGTCGACCACCCTGGTAAACCTGATTTCACGAGGCATACTGGGGCGGTCAACAAAGGCTTCCCTTGTTGACCGTGGTGCATACAGTCTACCACGCTGTGCTGCCAAACAGCTGATCGGCACAGCACAGCGGCCATTTTGATGTAAATGAAGCAGCGATTATTTAAATCGCCGCTTCATTTCCCTATGTCTAGTAAACTCATCTACATGGCTCCGTCGATGAAGCCATGTAGTCTAGACATACCCTTAATTACAATTGTATCCCTTTAGAATGCCACGTGTTCTGCAAAAAGGGAAGGTTTTGTTTTGTTTTTCCTTTACTGCATTTCAAAGTTATTCAACAGAATTCAGGAGAAGTGCTTGGGCAGGAAGATGTTGCGGGTAGGACTGTACCTACTCTTTTTCTATGCCTATACAGTACAAACTAATAGCACCACATTTATAGTAAAAGAATGGTGTTCATGTATTGTTTTCCTACTTCATATTCTATAGCATTACTCCACATGATTTTGTGCCATTGCAGTCAATGCCAAGAACAAAAGGGATTGATTTTCCTCTTTCTCCTTCTGAGATTTAATAAATAATAATACCAATATTTTACTCAAATTCATCTTCTTCTGGGTAAATATTCCAATTTCTCATTGATTTAAGGGAATACAATATTTCACTGATACACCCTGGTTGCAAAACCCTATAATATTAAAATTAATTAAATCTCAAAAATGATTTTACCAGATTGTGGGTTTTTGCTGAGACAATTTTTGTAGTCTTGGGATTCCATATAACTAGGTCAGCATCAGAACCTACAGCAATTCGCCCCTTCCTGGGATAAAAATTAAAGATTTTGGCTGCATTTGTGCTGGTCACTGCTACAAAATCATTCTCATCCATCTTCCCTGATGCCTGGAAATCAGAAAGAAAAGAGATTGGGAAAAGAAAGCTATTACCAAAAAAGGAGATCTTATCAGAAATTATTTTACAATTTTATTTCGACTTAATTATACTTTGCCCCTTTTTATACATGGAAGATCACATAATCTTGGACCCAACATTTAATAATGGCTATCCTGTAAAAATGTAATAAGAAAAACCAAAAAGGAGTTTGAAGAACAGCTAGCCAAAAACTCAAAAGGTAATAAAAACATGTTTTTTAAGTACATCAGAAGCAGGAAGCCTGCTAAAGAACCAGTGGGGCCCTTGGACAATCGAGATACAGAAGGAGCACTTAAAGACGATAAAGTCATTGCGGAGAAACTAAATGAATTCTTTGCTTCAGTCTTCACGGCTGAGGATGTTAGGGAAATTCCCAAACCTGACATCCTTTGTAGGTGACAAATCTGAGGACTTGTCACAGATTGAAGTGTCATTGGAGGAGGTTTTGGAATTGATTGATAAACTTACTAGTAACAAGTCACTGGGACCAGATGGCATTCACCCAAGAGTTCTAAAATAACTCAAATGTGAAATTGCGGAACTATTAACTATGGTTTGTAACCTACCCTTTAAATCAGCTTCTGTACCCACTGACTGGAAGATAGCTAATGTAACGTCAATATTTAAAAAGGGCTCTAAAGGCAATCCAGGCAATTACAGACCGGTAAGTCTAACGTCAGTCTAACAGCAAATTAGTTGAAACAATAGTAAAGAATAAAATTGTCAGACACATAGAAGAACATAATTTGTTGGGCAAAAGTCAACATGGTTTCTGTAAAGGGAAATCATGTCTTACTAATCTATCAGGGTATGTCTACACTAGCCCCCTAATTCGAACAAGGAGGGTAATGTAGGCATACCGCACTTGCAAATGAAGCCCGGGATTTGAATTTCCCAGGCTTTATTTGCATGAAGCCGGCCGGCGCCATTTTTAAATGCCGGCGGAAGCCTAATCCGAACTAGCTACTCCGTGCCGCGTGTAGCTGCGCGGCACGGGGTTCGAACTGCCAGCATTTAAAAATGGCGCTGGCCGACTTCATGCAAATGAAGCCCGGGAAATTCAAATCCCGGGCTTCATTTGCAAGTGCGGTATGCCTACATTACCCTCCTAGTTCGAATTAGGAGGGTAGTGTAGACATACCCTTAGAGTTCTTTGAAAGGGTCAAGAAACATGTGGACAAATGGGATCCAGTAGATATAGTGTACTTAGCTTTCCAGAAAGCCTTTGACAAGGTCCCTCACCAAAGGATCTTATGTAAATTAAGTTGTCATGGGATAAGAGGGAAGATCCTTTCATGGACTGAGAACTGGTTAAAAGACAGGAAACAGAGGGTGGGAATAAATGGTAAATTTTCAGAATGGAGAGGGGTAATTAGTGGTGTTCCCCAAGGGTCAGTCCTAGGACCAATCCTATTCAACTTATTCATAAATGATCTGGAGAAAGATGTAAACAGTGGGGTGGCAAAGTTTGCAGATGATACTAAACTGCTCAAGGTAGTTAAGACCAAAGCAGACTGTGAAGAACTTAAAAAAGACTCAAAACTAGGTGACTGGGCAACAAAATGGCAAATGAAATGTAATGTGGATAAATGTAAAGTAATGCACATTGGAAAAAATAACCCCAACTATACAGATTATATGATGGGGGCTAATTTAGCTACAACTAATCAGGAAAGAGATCTTGGAGTCGTTGTGGATAGTTCTCTGAAGACGTCCATGCAGTGTGCAGCGGCAGTCAAAAAAGCAAACAGGATGTTAGAAATCATTAAAAAAGGAATAGAGAATAAGGTGGAGAATATCTTATTGTCCTTATATAAATCCATGGTACGCCCACATCTTGAATATTGTGTACAGATGTGGTCTCCATCTCAAAAACGATATACTAGCATTAGAAAAGGTTCAGAGACGGGCAACTAAAATGATTGGGGGTTTGGAACGGGTCCCATATGAGGAGAGATTAAAGAGACTAGGACTTTTCAGCTTGGAAAAGAGGACACTAGGGGTGTGTCTAGACTACATGGCTCTGTTGATGGAGCCATGTAGATGAGTTTACTAGACACAGCAAAATAAAGCGGCAATTTAAATAATCGCCGCTTCATTTACATCAAAATGACCGCCGTGCTGTGCCGACGATCAGCTGATCCAGCACAGTGGGCAGTCCAGACGCTCCACGGTCAACAAGGGAAGCCTTTGTCAACCGCTCTGGTAAACCTTGTTTCACATCCTCATCCTTCTTGTCTCTCTACTAACAAACTACACTCAAGATTCGTTGTGGACCTAATCCAAAGTCAACACAGAGACTCGAAATTTATTTAGAGGGTACTATCATGTTTCAGAAATTACAAATGAACAAATTTGATATAGCTCGTCCAGTCCTACTGGAAGAATACAAATGGAAACTCCATTTTTTTGCCTTGAGAAAAATGTTCTGGTTAGACTTTTAGTTCTGCTCACAGCTCAGACTGAAAGAGCCCTTTCAAGATATTTACATTCAAATGTTACATTTTCTCTCATTAGCAAAGTAGATAGATAATGTCACCCAAGTAGGCATTTAGCAATGTCAGGTGATAATGTACCACTTTCCATTCCATTAAAGAAAATCTTGCTATTACCTAAATCCTCATATTTAACAAAAATGCCACTTGCATGTACTTGTATTGATAATCCAGCAAACATTCACACTTATTTAGTTACTTACCACACACTTCTCCCAAATTATAGACATTCTTTCTTCAATGCCATTTGTTCCCTCTGGAATAAGGGTAAAGTTATCCTTTCCTACTGCCTTCTGGGCAGTGGTAAATGTGCAGTGGGCACTGCCTGCAACCTGAAGATCCCCACTGAGTTAAAACAAACCAAAAAAATGCAGTTATTGGACAAAAATGCCTAAATTGTAATGTTCAGTGTGATAATTCAGGGTGCGTCTAACACAGCAGGGCTTAACTTGAAATAAGCTATGCAAATTGAGCTATTTTGAGTTTTGGTGTTGTTTACACAGCACTTATTTCCAAATAGAGCACTCTTCCTCTGACTTCCCTTACTCCTCATAAAATGAGGGTTACAGGAATCAGAGTAAGAAGTCCTCTAGCTTGACAGTATTTCAACATTATGTCTAAATAACTGCTGGCCATGTAGACACAGACTACATTATTTTGAAACAACGCTAGTTATTTCACCATAATGTTGTTGTGCAGACAGAGCCTCAGGGGCCTTTTCTATGCAACTATCTACTCTTTAAGAGTGAAATTCTCCCCCATGTAGTGGATTAAGTGTGACATAATGGCCTCCATGCAGCAGTGAATTTCATCCTTAGGGTAAAATTTTCGGAAGTGCCTAGAGGATTTCAGCTCTTAAATCCCACAGGATTTAAAGGCCTAGATGCTTTTGAAAATGTTACCTTAAAAGCCTTGCACAGATAGGATGTCACTGGTCTGGCACCCTCGGGATCTGAGCAGTCCTGGATGAGGGAATTTGCTTCACCAGGGAAAGTCTCCTGCCACCAGTCCCTTCAGTCTGCCGCCCTTCTCCGCCACTGGCTTCTTCAGGCCCACTACCAGCCGGGTGACACAGCTACCTCAGCCCCACTGACATAACTGCTGCTCTAGCCGTAGCCCTGCTGCCGACTGGTATGCAGCCCTGATTGTGCTGCCAAACTGTCACAGTCCCAGCTGGATTGCCATGGCCCCAGCTCTGCAGCTGTAACCACAGACAGTCTCTTCCCCTGCTGGGCTGCCATAGCCCGGCCTTGCTGTCAGCTGCTGCAGCTCTCTCCCCAATGCCAGGCTGGCATGTAGCCCATCTTGGGCTACCATGGCACAACCCTGCTCCCGGGTTGACTTACATGGGGTGCCTTGGCCCCAACTGAGTTGCTGGGCTGCCTCTGCCCCATTACCGAGCTACTGAGGCCCTCTTCCCGCTACCACCAACCTCACTGTGTCCAGCTGGCCCTCCTGCCCAATGAGAATCCTGATTTAGAGAGGTGCAACCTGTATTTACACTCCTTAAATCATCATCCCAGCCATGAATTTTATTCTATTCTTTTGGCCCGGACAGCCTTGTAAGAAATGATTCTAAAGGACCTTTTACATATATTCCTGGTGATGGAATATATATAAAAGGACAAAATCAGTTTCTATAGATCAGAATCTATTATAACTCAACGAATCTGAAGGAGGCTAATAGGAACGAGAGAAGGAAAGGAAGGAGCCGAGATGGTTCTCTGGAACAAGGCTCTCTAGAGACATCTGTTCATGAAGCCCTGAAACACCCTTTCTGATTTATGTCCAGGCTGTATTTAGACTGAATTATATGCATATTTTATTATGAGTTTGTGGACATAGTTCTACAGGGCAAAGATTAATCAAACCAAATCTGTTTGCTTTCCTACAGTCCAGTGTCACCACTAGAGAGAAGAATTTTCTGAAATCTCAGAGAATGCAAAATAATTCTCATTAAGAGACCCATTAGGGCAGAATATTTACTTCTAAATTGACCCTTCTACAGGTTAATAGTCTCACACTACACAGTCTTCATGTGTTCTTTGGGGCCTGATTTTTCCATCCCTACTCAGACTGAATAGTACTATACTTCACAAGGAGTCCTATTGAATGGCTCTATTCAATGAGGTCTTTAGTGATGACCAAAGACCCTAAGCCAAACCCCCAAATCCAGCCAGAGTAAAACTGTACAGATTGGCTCACAACTCCACTCTGTTCTTTGGGCCCATCTCTGTGGGTGAATATTAATAGCCCCAGGGACTCAGTTTTGTTCCCCACGCCACTGTCATTTACTGTCCTTGCCAACTCACCATGATAACAGTGAAGTGAGATAATCAGATGTAGTAGGGTCAGGGCTAATTGGAGGAGATGTAACAAAGGCTGCAGCTTTAGCCCAATTCTTACTCCAGTAGTGTGATCCATCAGTGCCAAGGCTCGCTGTAATTGGCTCTCCATACACAACTGTGCCTAAAGAATAATAATGCTAATACATAATTTGAAAATATGTAGTATGCCCCCCATGGTGAACTCTCTTTTCCCACAGAGTAGACAAATGGTTAGATTAGCAATAAAAATGGTTTCAGCCAGTTTCTCTCTGTTTCAGTTTCCTGAATTACTGTCAACCAATTGGATTGCTTCAATCGGATTGTAAAAGTACATCAGAAAACAACCCACATCAAACCCTCAAGTACTATTCAGTACTATTTTTTTCTGAGAAAGACCAAAATAAACACTTCAGGGCATGGCTCCACATCTGTAACAGGGCAAGGAGATATACCTATCTCATAGAACTGGAAGGGACCTTGAGAGGTCATTGAGTCCAGGCCCCTGCACTCACAGCAGGACCAAGTACCTTCCCTGACAAATTTACCCCAGATATCTAAATGACCCCCTCAAAGATTGAGCTCACAACCCTGGATTTAGTAGGCCAATGCGCAAATCACCAAGCTATCCCTCCCCTCCAGGTAAAGTGTCTAAAAACCCCTCTCAAAGGGATACCAAAAATTACACTAAAACTATGGGCACAATTTACCCTCCTGATTTAACTCAATTTAAATCTGTTGATTAGCACCTTGGATAGATTCAGTCTTCTATGTTTATGACTGGATATTTCTGTGTGTCACTCTATCATCCTGCATTGTGGGCCAGATTCCCTATTGATGTAAATCAACACAACTCCATTGGCTTCAATGAAGCTACACCAGATGAGGGATCTGTTCTTATCACTACATTCTAGGTATTGTGTTACCTTGTTTCCCTGAAGGAATATTTCTATTACTTTCCAGTGTGTCAGCACTTTGAATTCTTAGTCATTCTCAGGGATATTTTTCCCAGTCAAAGCATGACAAAAGGTTGGAAATGAATTATTGACATTTTTTTCCAACTCTACCTAATGAGGCATGTTTAGCAAAGTCTTCAGCCAATCTGTTCGATTCTGCTGAGTTCACTTCAGTGCAATTAAACGCCAGTATATTTTGAAAACAGAAGCTGACATTAAGTTTTGTGCTTTTCAGATGTACCAAAAATTGGCTAACGATGGGCCCTTAACTCCCTTTTATTGCAGTGATACTCATGGAGACAAGTAAATAGTTTTAATTAGGGTGTAAACATGAAGTGATGTTTTACCTTTTCGCTTTGCTTGTGCTATCACATCTGCAGCACCTTTGCTCATTACTTTTGTGACATACAATGGGCAGTTGGCTTGTTTTGCTATTGTAATTGCCCGGTACACTGCCTCTGATTCAACCTTGGGAAACAAGAACACAATCAGGCAATGTCTTACATCATCTCTTTTAGTTGCATGGGCATGAATGGAGACTTCTCTAATGCTCTAAACACACCCATTTTAAGAACTTAAGATATTACCTCCTCTGGATGGCTAAGAACATGCCCTTCTGGCCCAGTAATTCCAAGTTCCAACAGTCTCTTTTGCTCCTAATTAAAGGTAGAAAAATGAGAGAAACTGTAAATTATGGGAACAATCTAAAACAACTTGGAATTGGAACATCATGTCTAGAAGTAATTGAGGGTTATGGAAATTCCTAAATAATATCCTGGATTACCATTTATATCCATGACAATTAAAGTATCTTACCAGAGACTAGAGTATCTTCCTATGACAATAATAAACAAGACATTCTACTGGGATTGGTCTTACTACTCAGCATACTACACTCGAGTGATTTGACAACATATTGATGGTGTTCACTTGATCAGAAACAATTAAGCAATAAGTAATAACTATGCGCTTTTCCTGGACTATTCATTCAAGCACTTCAAGCTCACTGTGAAAGAAGAGGCTGAAGGCCGGGTAGTTCCATCACTTAAGGCATTGCTATCCTTTTAGAAGTGCAGTCATCTGGAAGAGCTTGAGACGTCCCACACATATTCCTTGTGGCAATGATTTATGCAGGTCATCCCAAATGAGCATCAAAAAAGACTTTATACCAAACTGCACTGTTCAACCTTCTGTGTATCCCTGCCTATGCACACTTACAGGGGAATGTTATCATCTTTATTAGTACTATTTGTCATAGTCATCAATCTAGTTTTCCCTGTGTCCTGATCCAGTGCATAATTTCTAATGAAAGAAGTGCTGGGATTTAAGCATTTTTTTTACTTTGATAACTGATGCAGCAAGCCCAAAGGTGCCGGAGCTAGGAACTGCCAAGCCTAGTGCACAGCAAACATGGCACTGGAAAGCCTTGGCACAAATTAAACACTAGCCTGATCCCAGGAAGCACTGAGCACATCCACAGCCACCATCAACTACTATTGAAGAGGTACAGGAAGGTCAGATCCTTGCTCTTAGCATTAGGCCAAAGCATGAGCCTCAGAGAGCGAGAGGAAAATATAATTAACTTTGCAGAAACATCTCTAGGGCTAGGAACAAATGCTGTGTTTTCTGTCAGTAAGCCAGGAATCTTGCCATCCACCAATGATCTACCACTCCCTTTGCCAGCTCTGCAGAGGTCACTAAAGATAATTTGCCACATTAGAAAAAACTTCAGTGTTCTTCTCACTTCTTTATAAGCTTAGGGTGGAAGATCTGGCCCGGCCACCTTTGCCATGATGGAGGCAGCCAGGCTGAATCTACTGCCATAAGCCGCTGCCCAGAAATCTACCATCCTAGGCAGCTGCCTAGGTTACTTCTTGGTAGAGCAGCCCCTGCAGCTCTGAAAGAGGGCAAGATATCAAGTCCTAAACCTGCCATTTTTGAAGGGCTATTGCCTGTCCTGACCCTCAGGCTGGTGTCACATTTGTGAAGAAAAAGCCCATGTTAGGAATAGTACAGAGAGGGGAAGGAGGATAATGGAAATGGTTTTTTAGCAGACTATTCAGGGGCAGACAGGAATGTGGCTGTTGGAAGTTGAGATCAGCATGGAAGCATACCCACAAAGATGGACTAATAGGCAAAGTGCCATCTTCAATGCCATTTCTCTACAAGGAATCATATAGATACAACCATGTATATTTTAGGCCTCCTTATGCCATCTTGGTCTTCTGAATCATATAAGAAGCCACCCAGGAGTATTTCAGCTGGCTTCCCTCTCTCAGGCTTTTTGCAATTGTTGCTAATTATTCCCATCAGCAAAAGCTGTTCATGGGATATGCTGAATCAGCACATTCCTTGGCTATCCTGGCCACAGCCCTTCCAAGCGAGTATTGCCCACATTTTGTGCAGTGTTGGCTCCTAACCACTATGGCTGTGTCCAGACTCAGGGGGTTTTTCGGAAAAAGTAGGCTTTTTCCGAAAAAACTTCACCTGCGTCTAGACTGCAGCCGCGTTCTTTCAAAATTAAATCAAAAGAACGCGGCTTTTCTTTCGACGGCGGTAAACCTCATTTCACGAGGTAGAACGCCTTCTTTCGAAAGTGCTCTTTCGAAAGAAGGCGTTCTTGAATGTAAATAGGGCTTCTTTGAAAGAGAGCATCCAGACTCACTGGGTGCTTTCTTTCGAAAAAGCGGCTTGCTCTTTCGAAAGTTCCGCGTGCAGTCTAGACACTCTCTTTCCAAAGAGGCTCTTTCGAAAGTATCTTTCAAAAGAGCCTCTTTCGAAAGAGGCTTGCAGTCTAGACATAGCCTATCAGTGGAAGGGTGGTACTGTAATTTTCTGCTGCCCTCTGTGAACACACTCTGCCACCAAATTTACGGAATTTTTATTTCTGTACCATCCATGTTCCTTTTGCAGAAATCCTGGAAGTTTACTGCCAGGGCTCTAATGATATCATGCCAGAGGCTTAAATAAATACTCTGAAGATATTGAACTGCTTAGAATCATATTATATTTCACAGCCACCTAGGGCGAATGAAAAATCCTACTGGGGAAAACTGGTTTTAAGTTCAGGTTTGTTTGGTATAAAAAAGCCACTTGAAATGTTGGGAAATGGCATTTAATTATAAAGTTATCTCTTATATAATACTGCCTATTCAATTACCCGATTCATTTTCAGAATGAATGACAAGTTTACTTCTGTTCTCATTGTACATTCCCGATATTTATTTCACATTTTCCTATGCTAAACTAGAGATAGAACAAAAATCAATACAAATTTTGCATGCAGAATACTCTCTTGTTGATATTTGCCCCCACATTTGGGGCTGTGGATCTAGTTGAAATGTACACTACTGTGAAAGTCTAAAATCTTTTGAATGCTCAGAGCTAGAGCCTCAGACTCTTAAACAACATGGGAATAAAACTTCTCCAAGTCAAGCATATCTTAGAGAAGCAAAAAATTCTAAAATGTGCCAATAGCTGTTATAAATGAACCTGTGATAATAACCCACTAGATGCAAACAGTCAGGATGATGCCTCTGCTTTTAATAAGGATATCCTTCCAAGCTCTTCTGCTAATATATGATGTCACAACAGATTTTGCTGCTAGTCCACTCCCTCCAAAGCTCAGGTAATCAGATTAGCTTAAAGGTCAAATCCTGCTTAGTTGTGTGTGGGCAGAAAAAGCAGGGAAGAAGAGGAGAACATCCATCCTCTACTCCCCACATGCTGTAGCAAGGCAGAATATGAAACGAACACCGCAGGAAACATTGAAATGAGAGACCAGATTCTGCATTGGCTACCACACTCCAGATCCAAGAAGATTTACTCTGCCGGCAAATTTATGGAATATTTCTTTCTGTACCATCTATATTCTCTTTTGCAGATACCTGGAAGTTCATCTCCAGGGCACTTGTGTTTCCTTAACTCGGCCACTGACGTGTCTGAAAGTTTTCTCAATAATTTTACTAGGAATATGATCTGGGTGATAGTGTGGCTGGCAGCATGCACCAGTGGAACATATGCTGATCGTTTTCACAGAAATAGCCAGGAGCCCCCGCAGCATATACTTTGTACCACCAGCTCCTGAGCTGGCAAATGCTCAAATGCTGGAAGTATGTCTGGCACTGCTCTGCCCTCTACTGCCCAGTGTGCAGCCAAATTTCAGGGAGGCATTTTGGCCTAAATTAATATTGTGGCTAGTTTTTTATTTAAATGAATAGGTTTAGTATACCTCATCAATGATGTCTCCATTTTCAGCATGCACTTGAGCAATAGCACCCAGGTCACGAATAATGCTGAATATTTCATACATCTGTCAGGAAGGAAGGAAAGAATTTCCTAATGTCAGATAGGTCACGCTTTACAAAAGGTGCCATTTTATTTTTTCTTTTATTATGTTTCAGTTATTCTTTGTTACCTGGGTATCGGTGCACTGAAGTTTGTCTTTATAAGCCATGAAAACTAGAAAGGAGTTCACACCTTTGAAAAAATAAATGACATGTGCATTTATTCTTATAGCTGAAAACAAATCACTCTTGTCTACTAGAAATGGATGGAAAAGGCGGTGTTCAGATCTGGGTGAGGTTTTCAGGCTACTATTGAGGACTGAGATTGAATCAGGGCTAGGGATCACACATGGATTAATGAGCATAAAAACTTGTCCCTGTTCTTATGAGATTTGTTCCCCAAATGTTGTAGTTCATGAAAGATGTTGTATGTAGTCTTACTGGGTTTTGGGTGCATTTAAACCAGAACCAATAAACAACCCATTTCTAATTTTTGATCCAACTTGGAACCAAAACCACATCAGTGAGTTCAGATTCATAGATCTGAACCGTAACCCTTTCTACAAACAGGTTGAAATCCAAACCCTAATGCTGGCTCATTTTGAAATGCTATATTTGAATCATTTTATTAAGGCAAAATCTAGAAATATAAAGCCAAAAGCACTCCATTCAAAACACCTTTTGTGATATACCTACATACACAACATCTATGTATCCTGCATTGCACAAAATTCATAACTCTCTAAGGGTATGTCTACACTAGCCCCCTAGTTTGAACTAGGGAGGCTAATGTAGGCATTCGAACTTGCAAATGAAGTCCGGGATTTAAATACCCCGGGCTTTATTTGCATGTTACAATCCGGTCACCATTTTCAAATGCCACTAGTCTGGACTAACTGCCCGCGACTACACGCGGCAGTTAAACGGTAATTCGAACTAAGTCCTTAGTTCGAATTACCTGTTACACCTCATTCCAGGAGGCAACCTCCCTCAGAGACAGCAGTGCAGGCGGGCAACCAGCTCCCCCAGAGAAGCGGCTCCCGTGGATCCACTTGCCCCTCATCATGCTACTGCCTCTAATAGAGAGGGGGGCAAGCGGGAGGTAAATGTGAGAAGCAGCTTTCAAGCTGGCTCCCCACACATTTTGGCTCCCGTAGAGCTGCCTGACCCTCGTACTGATGCCTCTTTATCAGAAAGCTAGCTCCTCATGAGCACCAGCTCCCTCCTATCCCCCATGTGTAAATATGCAACCATGAAAAATTCCAGCAGTTACACATTTACAGAAATACATAACAGATAACATCCCTCATTTTTATGTAGCCAAGAACCACAATAATTTTCAAGTTATAGTCATATTACAAAATCCTCTCCCTTTTATTACTATTTGTGAGTAACTAAGAAAAATGTCGGGTTTCAGCTATTTTCTTAACTAACACTGAGAATTTTAATGGAAGATACATTAACAATGTCTGTGTTAACTGACAAATTCTGTCTCCGAATACATGGCTGCATTTGCCATTGAAGCCACTTAGATTTGTACCTGCGTATCTCAGTGCAAAACAGTTCCTAATATGCGACTCATGTAACAAATTAGTGAAAGGCACTAATCCTGTGGTGGATGAGTTCTTCAGTAGACGATGTCCACCAGGTTGGTATCCATGGGTTCTTATATACAGGAACTACAGGTACAAATGTTTGTAAAGGGACCTTCAGTGCACATGAAACACTCTACTTTCAAGTACTGCAGGCTGGGGTTGCACTGCTTTATTCCACTCCATTGCAGAGTGCCTGGGAATAGGGATGCACCCACTAACTAAACAAGAGGGCTACGTCTAGACTGGCATGATTTTCTGCAAATGCTTTTAACGGAAAAGTTTTCCGTTAAAAGCATTTTTGGAACAGAGCGTCTAGATTGGCATGGACGCTTTTCCGCAAATCGGGGCTTTTTTGCGGAAAACAAATCTGAGCTGTCTACACTGGCCCTTTTGCACAAAAGTTTTGCGCAAAAGGACTTTTGTCCGAACGGGAGCAGCATAGTATTTCCGCAAGAACACTGACAATCTTACATGAGATCGTCAGTGCTTTTGCGGAAATTCAAGTGGCCAGTGTAGACAGCTGGCAAGTTTTTCCGGAAAAGTGGCTGATTTTCCGGAAAAACTGGCCAGTCTAGACACAGCCTATGTGAAGCAGGTATGGTGCATGGCTCCAACCCATAATACTCCGAGTAACCCAGTTAGCCTCTTGTTGTCCACTTTATTACACAATTGGGCCCCGTGGGTATGATTCTGAAATTCCTTAAACAGATAAATTTCCTGTGTAATCATGGGAGTCTTAACTGTGTAAGTACTTCAGAACAGGGCCCAGTCGTTTTGTTCTGAGCTACCAAAGGTGGTTTCTTGATGTCAGAGGAATGCATAGTGTCTTAAAAAGTAGCTTATCTTTTTTCTTGTGTTAGCTTTCATAATTGATGGTAACTAGGTTAGTAGAGCACTTGTCTCTTTGTCCTTACCTTTGTCTTTCACTAGAGCTTCCAGTTCCTCTTTTATGCTCTCATGCCAGCGTGTGATGTCAATATGTAGTGAATAATCACAACAGGCTTTGCTATCAGCACACTCTCTCCATTGGTCATATGCAGCAAGCAGATTCATTCCAGAGTCAGGGAACACATGGTCAACTGAAGAAATATTGCAGTGTGTCAGCAGCCTTTATATTATGGGGTAACAGTGGGACATTATTATAATGTCGATAAAATATGTGTTTATCTAACAGTTTTCTATTGTAGGAAGGAGACATTTTAATGCAAATTAGAAAACATCCAAGCTTAATTACCATTAAGACTGAGTCAGAAATCATCAAACAAGTCAATTCTAAATTGTGGATTATCGTACAACCTTAATTCATCCCTATGTGTCTAGATAATATGGTAAACTGAGACTGGTGTGTGCTATCATATACATGCAATGGGTCAAATTTTGCCCTTAGATATTTGTGCACAGCTTCCTTCGACATTAGCAACAATGGCATTCATTGATAGGTTCTGTATTTCCCATTACACCTGTCTACACCCTCAGCAGATTCTTCATAGTTCAGTTTAGTGATGTAAAAAGTTGTTTAAAAATGTAACCGTGTAATTTCTAAAAATTCTAGTGGTTACATGCACTGCGGACTCTGCAGTCTAAAGCTAATATATAAACAGCACACAGTGAAGTTGAATCCCTGGGAGTGGGGCTGCTGGCCTCCATGTAACTGTAACGGAAATGGATAGACTGATGCTTATCAGTTAACCATTTAAACGGAGTAGGCTAATGCTTATCAGTTAACCATTTAAACGGAAACACTTTTATGTCCCTAGATCCGTTCTGTGTCTCCTCTGCGTAAACTGGACTGAACTGTGTGGTGCTTTTATAAAGCCTTCTTTGGCTCGGATTGAGTAACTCAAAATCATTTTTACTTTGAACCTCAACAGTATTTGCTCTCAGAATCCCAGAGCTGGAAATTAGTGCAAAATTTGATTTTACAACCAAGTCACTTTTCTTCTTCTACCCACAAAAAGCAAAGTATATAAACAGAAATGTCTTCTGAACACCTATTTTAAAAGATAAAAAGGGGCCTTCTATTGCTTATCGTGATAAAGATGTAATGGCCTCATTAAAAGTAGACTCTACATTTTAAAAGGGAACATATAACAAAAGTAGAATTTATTGACGAGAACTTACTTAATACATGGTACAACTGTAATTAACTTTTCACTGGTGGCACACCTACTTTGCTTTTTGAAAGATGTACTTCCTAGAGGCATTGCAATGATGCCACTTACGTATCATGGTTGTTCCTCCTGCTAGGGCTGCTTTTGTGCCTTGATAGAAGTCATCAGAGGAGGTCATTCCCATCACAGGCATTTGCAGTCTAGTGTGGACATCTATGCCTCCTGGCATAACTAACTGGCCATAGGCATCTACAGTTTTGACACCACCAGGAACTATCAGGTTTTCTCCAATTTGCCTAAAAACAGTATTAAAGACGTTCTACTAGTTGCAAATAACATTTTAAAAAAAATACATTAACCTCCCATTGTTTAAAGTGAGCATGTGGGGGTGCTCATGTCCATTTCTGTAAGTTTTCCCACAGCGCTGTCACTGCATATTGGTTATGCTCTCCTTTGGGAAATGGGGAGGTATTTGGGGTCCTCAGATGGTGAGCTCTGAGTTTCTCCCATTTTTTCCTGATTTAGAGGCCTGTTGTCTTATGAGACCTCATGTCACAGTCACCATCCTTCTGGTAAAGGAAGATTGAATGAAACTTCTTTCAGACTCATAATTGCTGCTCTTGAAACTCGCTCATCTCCACTGGCAAAGCACTGCCTCCAAAACTTTCTCAACTTTAGGATAGGATTGATCAAATCTGTGTCTCCTAGGTGACCATGCAAAGCACCAATATCAGCCTGTTTGAGGGAATCAAATGTAACCCAAAGCTCTCTTCATTCATGTAATGCTGAACCACTCCCTAACTGGTTCTGATAGTTATTGCATATCACTATCAGATAGTAACAACTAAGGAACTAAGATCATTAGGGACTAAGATAATTTTGCTTGTTACCTTAAAGAGCACAAGTAGATCTTGAGAAAGAAAAATTCCTTTTTACTTTTTCTTCCAATGCCCTATGAACTATTGCTTTTTTTTGTACAAAAGAATATTTTGTACATGTTTCTAAGAAAATTAAAGGGGTCTCTGGAAATTATTATTCTTATTAAATTACACCAAAAATGTTAAGTATTGAAATTGTAATACCAAAGATTTCTTATGGAACTTACTTTATCAAACTGTCCTCCACATAGATATCAGCATAAAATGACTGATCATCATTGACAATCTTTCCTCCTTTGATTAGAAGCCGATCACTCTAATGGAAAAAATGTGATTTACAAGATTATTTTATTTAGAAGTTGCTTTACTCAGTACAGGCCTTCATGCATAATAATTCTCTATAATTGTTTGCTGCAGTTACAGTCTGAGAAAAAATACAGATACTTCCAATATAGTTTATGAATACATTCAAATTATTTCATACCAAACTATTCCACATAAAAAGTATTTAAAACAAAAACAGTATATTTTATATACAAATAAAACATGTTTTAGCATCTTGAAATCAACCAAAAAGGAGATTTAAACTATATTTTCCACAGCTCAGAGAACTTCTAGTTTTTTCTAGTGTGGCAGAGAACTTCACGCTGGAGTTATTTTAAAAAATTATTACGGCAAAGTTACAATAAAACAGTCACATATGACCATGCACATTAGTTATTACTGATTTTTTCATTAATTGCAAAGCCAGAATTCCCTTCACAGCTTTGAGTAACTCTGCAAAACATTTTTTGCTTCACCGTCCAATATTAATGTCTCCTGCCCAATAAGATTATATTAATATACGCAAGGGTATACTGCTAGTTTTGAAGAGGCTTGATGCAATGACCTTTTTGGTAAACTTACACTTAATTGACTCATTTTATATAATTAAGAGATAAAGGGCCACTACCAGTCTCCTTCTGCAGATGTGGAGGCCAGTTGTTTATGCTACCGTCTGTGTGTACAGGCAGTCCCCGGGTTATGTACAAGATAGGGACTGTAGGTTTGTTCTTAAGTTGAATCTGAATGTAAGTCGGAACTGGCGTCAGCCGCTGCTGAAACTGATCAGTTTCAACAGCGGCTGAATCTGGACGCCAGTTCTGACTTACATACAGATTCAACTTAAGAAACCCAGGCGTCCCCAAGTCAGGGGCTGACTACAGGAAGCCCGAGGCAGAGTTGCTCTGCCCCGGGCTTCCTGGAATCAGCCGCTGATCAGTTTCAGCAGCAGCTGACTTGGGGACGCCTGGGGCAGCCACTGATGAAACTGACTAGCAGCAGCTGAATCAGGATGCCTGGGGCAGAGCAGCTGGGGTGCTGCTGGGTTGCTCCAGTAGCGCCGAGGAGCGGCGCTGCGGGACCAACCCAGCAGCGCCCCAGCTGCTCTACCCCAGGTGTAGGCAAGAAAAGCCTGGTCTGCTGGGGAGGGGAGGGGGGGCACTAGCTGCACTCCCCCCCCCAGCAGACCAGGGAGACGCAGGGGGTGGGACTACCCGCGTCCTCCACGGCTTTGCTCCGTCTCCCTGATCTGCTGACCAGGGAGACGGGGAGCAAAGCCTTGGAGAACGCCCGCAGCAGGACAGCCCAGGTGCGCCCGGGCTGTCCCGCTGCGGGCGTGCTCCGCGGCTTTGCTCCGCGTCTCCCTGGGCTGGGCTCCCCCCCCAGCAGACCAGGGAGACGTGGAGCAGCTTTTCTCGCCCCGGAGGACAGGGGTGGCGGGACCGCAGTGCATCTTGGCGTCCCGCCGCTCCAGTCCTCCGGGGGGAGAAAAGCCCTGTTCGTAACTGCAGATCTGACATAAGTCGGATCCGCGTAACTCGGGGACTGCCTGTATATGCCAACATTCTAAGACAAGTTTGCATTTGACAGTTTTGCAACTAAACCATGGATATGAGGTTGCTTGGCCTCCCCCAAATGCTGTTACTGGCAAATTTTCTGTGCATTCAGGTGCATTTTAGCACTTTTATATAAGTGACTTGAAAACATCAATTAAATAAGTTACTGTGCCCTCTTTCTGAGGAAAGTAAGAATGTAAGAACATAGTTTCTTTCCCTGTGTCACCAATGAGGAAACGAAAGCAAAAAGGTTAAGTGGGTTGACTGAGGCCACAGATGATGTCAGTGTCAGAACCGAGATTGGCATACAAATGTTATTTGCTCTCAGTTTTGTGTTTAGGCCACTAGACCATGCTGCTTGTCATGATATTAAAGCACCTCTCATTGTGACCAGTGTCCACTTTGGCTGCTAAGCTGAGGATCCATTGAATATGCGGACAGTTAGCTGGGAGGCAGCTTGCAGCAGGCCTAGCAATATTAATAGCACACAAAATAATACTGTTTTCCTACACATGGCAACTGGCCAAAGGTTTTCCCAGAAATTGAGGAATCTATTGGCATGAGTGTCACAAATCTGAAATGCCAGCTTCAGGACACAGGGGAACTAATGGAATGGCTGTGATTTTTTGGGATATCAATGAGAAATTTTCCACTCTAGGAACTAATTTGTATATGTTTATATTTTCCGGGTTCTCTTTGCAAGGAAAAGGGCTAGGAACTCACTGTTATAAAAAGAAAGTGGAGATTAACTATAACATTTCCAGGTTCTCAAAATAAGATCTTCCTGCAGCCACAAGTTTCACAGTCCTAAAGGGTTCTGACACTAGTCAAAGGATTCTTCATTAGTCTCTGTCATTTTCCCCACTGAGTATTTTAGATGCATAAGAAAATGTAGGATCAAGCTCATATTTTTTTTAAATGTGAAAGTGCAGCATAGTTGATTACAATTATGTCCCCAACTGTGCCCTCTACAGTGACTCTAGAGAATTTACTCCCAGGGCAACAATGGCCACTGCTAAGGATTCTGATGCACATGTCAACATAATTGCTGGATGTAACAACTTGTGACAATACAGTTTGGGAAGGTGAGTTACAAGACCAGAGAAATGCTCAATTATAAAACATTTACAGAACAACACTTCTGAGCTTCGATTTTTTAAATCTGAGTCTAAGGGGTCTGAATAGAACTATTAAATAATTTTACTGTGTTTATGAAAACTCCCACACATTTCATTTGTATTCCATGGTCCTCAGTCTGTTTTTCAACAATATTTCTTGCTTCCCCGCCAAAAAGAGACACCACATTCACTGACTCATGGGAGGTCAGTCGGCCTCCTACACCAGGCAAATAAACAGACTGCTTTCTGGTCTGAAAGTGCACCCACTCTGTAAAAACCACAACATGCCAGATGTTCTTAATGGGCTTTTTCTGAACTCGGTGAGTCCCTTTACAGCCTGTCACTGATTCAGGCTGATTCTCTCTGGCTTACCTAATATCAGCTAGCCAATGAACACTACTAAAGGGAATTCAGTGCTCTCTCCTCTCACGTGGCTCCACGTTAAAGCCCACCAGCCAAATAAGGAAAAATGCTACCCATAGGTGCTTCCTCACCACCACAAAAATCCTGGCAATCAGGGTGAGGTGATTCCTATTATTACAGTGATAGGGATCTGCAGGATGCCACCGCACATTCCTCCAAGATACAGTGGAGAAAAGAGATAGTGGATGGAGTGAGGCCTACTGCAGTGAGTGAGCACAAGATCCCATAGCTACAGTATTCTTGCATTTTTTTTAGTATTGGGGGTTTATAGCCTGTGCCCTTAGGGTGTGGGTTTATGTATCAGGAGTAAGAAGGCCAGGGGGATCATGGCTGATGGGGGAAAAAAGGTAGGAAACATTAAATGCCATTAAATATAGTAAAACATAATGTTTGTATTTGTTAATTTCCAAATATAATGTGGCAGTCCTTCAGAGTGGATCCTTCAGACTCAAAGATACATGTGTTTGGCTTTCTTTTAAAAGGAGTATTTGTATACTCTTGGGTAAACTGGCTGGCCTGGTGTACACAAGCTCTAAAAAGCAGGTGCCCGTTGTTGTACAAGGGCCTCTTCCTGAGATATAATGCTACATAAACCCTGTCTGAGTTGAAGCTAGGTTATGCTCAACAAAGGACGATGCTAATTCTCCAAAGGGCCTCTATAGGAAGCTCGTAGTAACAAA